AGTCTGGGATAAACATTCTGGGGGGATTTGGGTGAGATTTACCTCCACAGATATCGAAGGTCACCAGGTTGTTAACAAAATCCATGCTCAGCCTTCTGGACAGAAAAACAGCTATTTTTATCTCCTCCACTAAGAAGGAACCCATATATGTTTGACATTCCTGGTCTCCTCAGTGATCTGTGGACACAAGACCTTTGTTTCCCCTAACAGTAGTCCATCACTGAAGGAAGAAGACAGGACAGGAACTCAAACAGGGCAGGAATCTCGAGACAGGAACTGACACAAAGACCATGGAGAGTTGCTACTTACTGGTTTGCTCAGCCTGCTTCCTTATAGAACCCAGGACCACGAACCCAGGAATAGCACTACCCACAATGGGGTGGGCCCTCCACCATCAACCACTAGTTAAGAAAATGCCCTACAACTGGTTGTATCACTGACTGAGAAAATGCTTTATGGAGGCAATTGAAATCCCCTTCATTCAGATGACATTAGCTTGTGTCAAGTTGACATAAAACTAGATAGGACAGCTATTTTTATATAAAATCTGAAAGTAGAGATACTTTGACTTCTGTTTCTATTCATTTTGGGTTTTTTTAAGGCTTCTGGTAGAGGAGAGGAGAGATACTGGGCTCCCTATCTTGTTCCTTGGATTAGTGGAAATGCTTTCTTTTCTTTTCTTTTTTCTTCTTTTTCTTTTTTTAATGTGTGTGGGTGTTTTACTTGCATAATTGTGCACCATGTGTGTACGTGGTTCCTGAAGAGGCCAGAAGAGGGCATCAGATCCACTGGAAATCGAGTTAAAGATAGTTGTAATTGGCCATGTGGACACTGGGAACTGAACCTGGGTTTTACAAGAGCGGTAAGTGCTTGTAACTGCTGAGCCATCTCCAGCACCTGGAAATGCTTTTGAGTTTCTCCCACTTAATCTAATGTTATTATCCTTTACCATGTTGAGATTTGTTCCTTCAGGAATTTTAACATGAGCGATGTTGGATTTTGTCAAAAAGCCTTTCTTGGTATCTATCAATATAATCATGTAATTAATGTAGTATTTATTGGCTTGCTTATATTGAACTATCCCTGCATATTTGGAAAAAAGCCAATCTCATCATGGTAGATTGTTTTTGATGTGTTTCGGAATTCAGTTTGCATTTACATGGTTGCTTTGTTTGTGGCAGGCCCTCCCTCTCTATGTAGCCCTGGATGTCCTAGAACTCACCAGATATACCAAACTGGCCTTGAAATAACAGACATCTGTCTATCTCTGTTTCCTATATGTTGAGATAAGAGGCATGTGTGACCACAGGTGGCTGGTTTGGGTGTTTTCAGACATTGTTCCACTCTCTAGCCTCAGATTCGTGGCAGTCCTCCTGCCTCAGCTTCTCCCGTATTGGGATTGCAAGCATGAGCCACCATGCCCAGGTACTCTATTTTCTTTACAGATGAAATTGTGGCTCTGAAGCGGCTAAAGATGGAGAAGGAGAAGGAAGGCTTCCCCATCACGTCACTGAGGGAGATCAACACCATCCTCAAGGCCCAGCACCCCAATATCGTCACTGTCAGAGTAAGGCTCAGTCTCCACACTTGGCATGCCCTGTCTGTGTGGGAGGCTTATCGCTTGAAGGGACAAGGGAGTAGATTCCATGACATCATAGGGCCAGGTGTTAGCAATTCCAAAGATAGCAGCTTTCCAAGATATCTTAGTAGGTCTTTGTATACACGGATACATTATCTTCAATTTCAGGTTTCCAAGAACCAGTGCTTGCCAGGGTGGGGTTGGAGGTAGAAGCCATGCCCAGAACCCATAGGTCACTATTAATTCCTAGGAAATCGTGGTGGGAAGCAACATGGACAAGATCTACATTGTGATGAACTATGTTGAGCATGACCTCAAGAGCCTGATGGAGACCATGAAGCAGCCCTTCCTGCCAGGTATGGCTGCATGCCACCTTGGGCAGCCAGTGCTGTCCAGTCCTGAGATGAGGGCAGAGCACCCTGTTGTCTGGTATGTTGAGGGATCTCTGAGCAAGGGGAGGAATAGTGCCTTCCTAGTGATCCCGTCTGTATGAGTGGTGGCCATAGTGAGCTGCTCAGAGTCACCCTGGGCTGGAAATGTTCCTAGAATAAAGTTTCCCCAGAAGTCCAGTTGTTGCCGGATTACATAAATAACCCTGAGTCTCTGGGCCCTTATGCAGGGGTGTTGGGAACTCATGAGCTAAAGGAATCATGTGTTGCCAGACATTGGTGGCACACACCTTTAATTCCAGCACTTGGGAGGCAGAGACAGGCATATTTCTGTGAATTCAAGACCAGCCTGGTCTACAAGAGCTAGTTCCAGGACAGCCTCCAAAGCCACAGAGAAACCCTGTCTTGAAAAACCAAAAAAAAAAAAAAAAGGAAGCCTGTGTGTGATCTCATTACTCTCACAGGGGAGGTGAAGACCCTGATGATCCAGCTGCTGAGTGGGGTAAAGCACCTCCATGACAATTGGATCCTGCACCGTGACCTTAAGACCTCTAACCTTCTGCTGAGCCACGCCGGCATTCTCAAGGTGAGCCTCTGTACTTTCCCACCTCGTCCCTGGAAACCTCTCCATCGCCTTATAGGCCATACTGTTTACCTTGTTGTTATAGGTGGGTGACTTTGGGCTGGCTCGAGAGTATGGCTCACCCCTGAAGGCCTACACTCCCGTTGTCGTAACCCTGTGGTATCGTGCCCCAGAACTGCTGCTTGGTGCTAAGGTGAGTTTGAAGAGGGATCTGAGAACCTTCCTTTCCTTGCCCCCTAGTGTCTATCCTCAGTCAAACCTATGGCTGACACTGATGTGGGCCTTCATGCATCTGAACCATGTCCTCTTTTAGGAATACTCCACAGCTGTGGACATGTGGTCAGTGGGCTGTATCTTTGGAGAGCTGCTGACACAGAAACCTCTCTTCCCTGGGAAGTCAGACATCGATCAGATCAACAAGGTTTTCAAGGTGAACATTAGCACTAGCCTATCTTTCTAGAAAATGACCTGCAATGTGTATGCAGAACTGGGATCCGGATCGGGGCCCAGGCCACACTGCGGGCTTTTCATGGCCTTTGTGATAAAAGTGACATATGGCTATCATGGAGGGCATGTCGAATTCAGACATCCTTGTTTTTCAGGACCTGGGGACTCCCAGTGAGAAGATCTGGCCTGGCTATAATGACCTCCCAGCAGTCAAGAAGATGACCTTCAGCGAGTATCCCTATAACAACCTCCGCAAGCGATTTGGGGCTTTGTTATCAGACCAGGGCTTTGATCTCATGAACAAGTGAGTCTAAGGGTGGCACAGTCTGCAGCCACTGGGCTCTAGGCTGATTTCCCTTGCAGAACTTTTCTAGGGCCTGGAAGCCCCAGAATAAATACCAGGTTTTAGGAGATGGCCATGTGTGCCCTGACGGTCCTGTGCCGCTCTCCTCAGGTTCCTGACATACTACCCTGGGAGGAGGATCAGCGCAGAAGATGGCCTCAAGCATGAGTATTTCCGAGAGACTCCCCTCCCCATTGACCCGTCCATGTTTCCCACGTGGCCCGCCAAGAGTGAACAGCAGAGGGTGAAGCGAGGCACGAGTCCGCGGCCCCCCGAGGGCGGCCTAGGCTACAGCCAGCTGGTGAGGGGCATGACTAGTAGGGGTTCCAATGGGGGAGACAGGGCGGGGACAGGGTCCTCATGGTGGTCACTTTACTTCTTCCGCAGGGTGATGATGACCTGAAGGAGACGGGCTTCCACCTCACCACCACCAACCAGGGAGCCTCAGCTGCTGGCCCTGGCTTCAGCCTCAAGTTCTGAGGTCAGATTGACCGACTCTGGCCTGCTAGGTGGTGACAGGCAAATCTGCTGAGTCAGCACAACCTTGTTTTATTTTCTCCGTGTTGTTTGCTTTGAGCCAGGTTGTAAATTTGTAGAATTAAATCACAATTTTCCTTCTGGAAAGGAAGTTTTTTGGGGTGTCTAACTTGCCATATGAGGAAGGATGGGTATCTGTAGGTGCCAGAGTAGGACCCTCTGCACAGTAGGACCCAGGCTGGAGCAGAGCTGGAGTTGTCTGCTTGTCAGTCTTGGAGGCTGGTGTGTGGTGATGTTTTGTTTATGATCTAACAAATCATAAAATGTCACACTGTGTGATGCGTGAGGCAGCCTGCTTCTCTCAGGGCTATCTATGAGAGCCCCATCCACAGACCTTGGCCCTCAGAACCAGGTGTGTGACAGCTTTACCCACAGTGGGTTTTTTTTTTTGTTTTTTTGTTTGTTTTTTTTTTTTTTTTTTTGAGACAGGGTTTCTCTGTGGCTTTGGAGGCTGCCCTGGAACTAGCTCTTGTAGACTAGGCTGGCCTCGAACTCACAGAGATCCGCCTGCCTCTGCCTCCCAAGTGCTGGGATTAAAGGCGTACGCCACCAACGCCTGGCTCACAGTGGGTTTTATACATGAGGTTGTTGGGTGTTTTAAGAAGTAGTAAAGTGTTCTTGGAGGAAGCTTCTATATGTCTTTTTTTTTTTTTCCTCTCAACATGCTGGCTCCCAGCTGGTCCCTGTGGGTGTCTCAGGCATGAGGAGATGCTAGCGGCAGACTTTGGGGAGCAGACAGGATTGGGTGCTCTCTTGTTCTGACTCACACATGCCATGACCTCCTAGGTCTATCCCCCCTTCATTCATCCTGCACCCCCCTCCAATGTAGCTAAGAAAGGCGTAGGCCTGAAGAAGAAAAAAACAAAGAGTGCCTATGACTGCTTGGGGTCTCTATCTCTGCCTAAGCTGGTCCTCAGCCTCTTGCCTATTCCCACTGAAGCCTCACCTAGTCCCATGCACTCTCCTCTCAGCATACCCTAAGTAACGCTCCACTGCTCCACAGGCCATCTTGGCAAAGCCCTTGCCCTTTTTTGAAAAGTAGGGGAGTACTGACCCCAGGGTCCCCACATTCAGGTAGGCAGAGACTGGCCTTCCTTCATCCCATGAAACAGCACAGAGACATCAGAGAGAAAGCGCTTTATCTGCTGACTTCAGCACAGAGGCTGTTGGCAGGCTCAGCTTTGCACTCGGACCCGCCAGGAGTAGGTAGTGAGAACACGCTGGCGCCGGCGCACCACACACGTATAGGTGCCTTCGTTGATTGCGTTGGCAATGATGCTCAGCTGTGCCTCACCCAGGGCCAGATAGCCAGGGTAGGAGAACTCCAGGGGCTCCTGGTCCTTGTACCAGCTGCAGAGGGGAGGTTCCTGCATCCCTACCCATGCCAAGGGCCCCAGCATGTCCCCACCAGCATACCCCAGGCAGCCCCAAGCCCCTCTAGACATGCCTGCCCCCTCCTGGTTACTCACTATACTTTGCCTTTCTTGTGTAGGATCTTCTGCCCACAGTGGAAGGTCATGTTCCTACCCTCTTTCACCAACCTTGTTTTCATTCTGGTGGGTGGTGTGGTGGTGGCCACAGTGGGGAATGGGAATTCTACTCAGAGAATGGTGAAATGGCATGTCAGTGCTTATCACCCATCAAACCGGGCCCAAGATGGAGAGACTCAGAGCTCAAGAGAACCCCCCCACCCCACCCCACCCCATCTGAGCCTTCGTCACCATAGCAGAAGTCACAGCTTCTGGGACAGAGCCTCTTCATGAGCCTCTGGTGGGTGTCACAAAATCCCCTTCGTGCCCAGGATGTACACCCAAATAGCCGGTCCAGGCAGCCTAACAGAAGAGCAATGGCTCAGGGTTTGCCTAGAGCTCTACCATCCATCAGCCCCACCCACCTGCCCCATTGTACCCACCATAGAGTCGGTGTAATCCCCACAGCTCATCCTGCGACAGCGCCTTCCAGCCTCGCAGTGTGGCATTGATGTGCATGAGTGCCTGATGTTGCTGTGAGTGCATCAGTCCCAGCGCATGGCCAATCTCGTGGGCTGCCACATGCACCAGGTCTGTGAGCCATACGCCTGTGGGCCCCGAGGCTTAGTACTGGGAGCACTCAGCCCTTCCACTCCCAGTCTCGTTCCAGGAGGCTCAGCACTGATTGTGGAGCCCAGCTGCAAGCCACCCTTAGCCCACAGCCAAGGAAGATAAGTTTGTTCCCAGCCTAGGCTGTGAGCTTGGCCCTCAGGAATGTAACTCCAGCGGCATGGGGTGGGGTGGGGGAGACGGCTGAGGCCTGTGAGAGCCATAATTCCCCTCAAATATTCACTCAAGTATTCAGCCCCAGGGAACTCTTCCTGCCCCAAAGCCCTGTGTAGCCCACATGGTGGAGAGAATGAGGCCCCCAGGAGTTGGATCACCTTTCTTCCAGCTGTAGCGTGTGGGGCCCAAGACCCAGTACTCGCTGTCATCAAAGTGAATGCCACCGTGGGGTGGGAAGAAAGCATGGGCCAGTTCACCTGTGGGACCGTCAAAGCAGTGGTGCAGAGCAGAGACCAAGCAGTCGGTGTGGTTGATTGGGTAGAAACCTAGAAAAACGTAAGGCTGCAGTAACACCTGTGGGGGCTGGGTGGGGCCAGGAGCACTTCTGTCACCCACCTATCTGGAGGTCACTGGGAAGCTCAGGGGCCACTTCACGGAAGCGGAATGGCGAGACATCACTCCACATGCGAAAGGCGGCGGCCAGGCCCTTCCTTGTCTCTTCAGGGTTTAAAAGGTTCCGGGGAAAGGAGAGAATCCTGCGGGTGGGGATCGTGAGACCTAAGGTTGGAGGCAGTATCTGAGTTATGACCTCACCCTCCCGCCCTCGGGTTCAGGTGGCACCTGTATGTGAGGTTGAAGTGGTTCCAGCGCAGCCTGGCTGGTGTCAGCGTGTAGCGGCGTCTTCGGGGAACCAGTATGGTCAGTGGGCTGGGGGCCTGGGCAGTGGAGACCCCTGGAGGGTTTGGTGCAGCCACATTCCTCTTCGCGTGGGGGGGGTGGTAAAAAAGTGGATGTGAGGAGGCGGGAGCAACAGTATAATTCCCAGAATTGTTGCTGAAAGCTGACTCTTAGACAATGGAATGGAGATTATGGATGAACCCTCCCATGGACTTTTTTTTTTTCTTTTCTACACTTAATGAATTGCTTTTACCCCGACCCGGGCCCAGCGTGCATTTAAGAGCCGGCAAGAAGGAAGCAGGCTTGGTGGCACGTGCCTTTAATCTCTGGTGGTGGTCTACAGAGCAAGTTCCAGGACAGAGAAATCCTGTCTCGAAAAATCAAAAAGTAAAAATAGCCAATGAGAGCGGCAGACCTGGAGACGGATTCTGGCTCCCACCAGCGACCACTGTACACACAGATTCAGGATGCCTGGAGCTAAGGACTCACATGCAGTCAGTCCCACACTCCCCCTCGCATATGGGCCCACTGATAGACCCTCAGATGCAGACCAGCTCCCCGCACCCGGCCCCTTGGCTGCTCACCACTGCCCTCCAGGCGTTCTCTGCCGGCGCCCATGGCCACTCAAGCAACACCAGCGCGGAGAGAAGGCACAACCCGCTCAGGACAGCCCCGAACCAGCGGCCCTGTTGTAGGGCACCCGATCCCTCCAGATGGACGCAGACCCGGCAGCCCATGGCAGACGAGCTGTCGGATTCAGGACCACAGGGGGCAGTGCGACGCGACACAGGGACCTGGGCCGCAGAGTTGGGGCGGAGTGGGAGGGGGGGTTGGCGGCGGGCGGCTCGAGTTACAGCCCTATGGTGGAGCGAGGACCCAGTGCTGGCTTGTGAAGAGAACCAGCTGTCCTGTCCTGAAGGATCCTCATCTCCTAGGGGGTTCCAGGAACCAGGCTGTAGGGTGGATGGCAGTGGCCAGAACACCCAAAGGATGGGAGGGGGTGTCGATCAGAATGAGAGAAACAGTAACTAGTGAGGTGCCAGGGCTCAGATCCGGGGAAGGGGCATCAACTGCGCCCCCATGCCCACCTGGTTTAGGCTGAATGACCTTTTGGGTTTTCCCCTCAGCCCCGCTGGACCCACAATGAAATCCGATAGGGAAACCCGGGTTTTAGTCCCGCAGTGACTGAGTGTAACCAGCATACAGAGTGGAGGCGAGGGTACGTGGCAGTGAGAATCGGGTGGTTTGGCGGGCAGAAGGGAGAGGCTGAAGTAGCGAAGGGGCCTCCGGAAAGACGGGGAAGAAGCCTGTGGGGGTCCTTAGGACATCTGAGAAAGGGTCTGCTTTGGCCAGAGGATGCTCTCGTTGGACCAGAGCAGGAGGTCTGGGGAGGGTGCCAGGACCCGAATTCCAGCTCAGGCTCAGAGGGTGTTACAGGAACAGAACCCGGCATTGAGTGTGGCTGTCTAGCAGGGTGAGGGTAGAGGGTTAGGAGCTATGGTCGGAGGCCTGAAGGGTAGACCCGGCAGTACTGGGTGGGCGCCGAATGAACGTGGCATGGCAACCCAAGTGATGCCAGGTCCAGCTGAGATCCCCAGGGCGGAGCAGACTGGGTGGGTGAGACATCGAGAGCAGGGGGTAATAGCTGGGCTTAGGAAGGAGGGGCTCCTAGCCAGACGTCTTGTCCCTCCATCCCTCCCAGTCTTCCATGCCGGCTTTGGACCCTGGGTGACAGTAACAACGTACTGGTCAGCAGAATCAGCGCCAAGCAGCCGGGGTCCCCTGCGGCTGGGAATAGCTGCGCGGCAAGTTCTTGAAAAGCATCAACCATCTGCCCTCCCTTCATTACTCAGAATTTGTTCTAACAAATGGACTCCTTCTTGCTTCTTCCCTCTGCTCCTGCTCAACTGCCAAGAGCTTGGGGGCCTCCCACTCTCTCCCTCCTAAAGCAGGACCCTCTGACCTAAAAAAAAAAAAGTCTAGTCCCGCCCCAGGGGGGCGGAGGGAGGGGCGGGTACAGAGGCAGAAGGAAGTGGGGTGGGCCCCCTATAGGGCCGAAAATAGAACCAGCCTAAGCCTTGTGAAGCACCGAGTGGGTTTCTGGGACCCTCTTGTGTCAAACCACTGCCAGCACCAGAGAGTGTTCCTAACCTACAGGCACCCTGGGGCCTCGTGTATGTATTTGGGGGAGGGGTGAGGTACTGGGAATGGTGAGGACCGCTGGGGCCTGCTCAGCATCCCTACGAATGGAGCAAGAGCAGGCAGCAAAGTCCGAGAATCTTTTTATAAAATACAGGGGTTTTGTAGAAGGGCCATGGTGTGCCGAACAGAACGCGCTCACACGAAGATCTGAATGCGGTCGCGGATGGGCTGGCGGCAGATGGGGCAGGCATTGAGTGCAGAACCACAGGGTGCGCATGCCCCATGGCCGCACTGGAACACTAGGCGGATGTGGCTGTCGATGCAGATCGGGCAGGTGATGCGCTCCTCCATCTGTCGGTAGCGGCTCTGTAGCTCCTCCACCAGCTGCCGAGGCGGACCAGGCACCTGGATGGTGTTTACCACCTCTGAGCCGTCTGTGAGCGAGGAGAGTGGGAATCAGCAAGAGCAGGTGTGAAGATGAGGCTCGGATAGGTGAGCGTGCCGCCGGACAAGCAGGGGATATGCCACCCACCTGGACGCAGCTTCTTGCTGATAACCACCTGGCACCTGATGCACTTCTTCATCCTGCGAGCGCACTCTGCCAGGGACAATGGACCATTAGTAGGGCTGGACTAGACGGCTGGGTCACCCTGGGCCTCTACACCCTGCACTCACCCTCACAAACGGTGCGATGCTGACACGGTGAGAATAGAACCAGCAGTGCCAGCTCTGAGCACACCAAGCACTCGGCAGCTTCTGGCCCTGCTGTGCCAGACACATGCAGGTTCGTCACGGTGTTGGGAGTGCTCAGCACGTGCCGGGGGCCCGGGGGCATACCCCCACTGCCACCTGCCTGTCGCTCCCTGCAGTTGGAGGAGGAGGCTTGAAAGGACCCGGTGGTCTTAACAGTGCTCCCCCCCTCCACATCCCCATTTTGGGCTCACCGGAAGCGCTGGGCACAACCCTGCAAGGCCTTGAGCACTCGGCCTTCAGTGGCCAGGTCCAGTGGGCTCCTGCCACGGTGGTTTGTGTAGCTTACGTCAGCACCCTCCAGCGCTAGGAAGCAGGCCACTGCGGCACCTACGGTCAACTCTGTGCAGCCCGGGAGACCTGAGGCCTGTAGCTGAGTGGCAGGACATACAGATAAGGGTGGAAACCCACACAGGCTTACAGATATCCTCTGTTGGCACCCGGCTGTCCCAGAAATCTGAACAACGGCTAAGGCTTCTGGTTCTAGGAAGAGTGAGGAAGGCAGGCCCTTTTCTAGGTAGGTATAGAAACTCTCAGTACCATCATCCTCTCATCCTAATCAGACCCCAACCCTTTTGGTCTGAATTACAGATCCTGAAACTGAAGTCCTCCAAACTGCCCCACTCTCCAGAAATCCTGGTTCCTTGGAGCATAATGGGGAGTGAAAAATCACCCAGGCCCCCCTTTCCAGCACCCACACTCGACTTCCTCACCCTCGACAGCAGCTGCAAGGGCCCTGGGTCCCCCCCAGCCCTGTCAGCCACCAGAGGCAACAGCTGATGGCGCTGCAGTGCGACATGCAGGGCTGTGTCTCCCTCCTCATCCTCAGTGTTGACGCTGCAGCCGGCATCCACCAGCAGCGGCACAAGCCCCAGGTGGGCCTGCTGCACAGCCAGATGCAGTGGAGACTGAAGCTTCCGGTTGCGCACATTCACATCACAACGGCCCTGGGGAAAGGGTGGGCACAGGCTCAGCTTTGAGACCCCACTGGGTGTGGCTCCTGACCTGTGGGTGGCCTTGGGTCCCTGCACCCACCTCTCGGATTAGGACCTGGGCCACCTCACGGTGGTTGTTGAGAGCTGCCAGATGTAGTGCAGTAAAGCCATCTTCCTTCTTGGCATCCACCAGCTGCCGTGCCCGTGCCAGAATCTTTCTGACTGCTCTGTAGGAACAAGAAGGTCTGTCCAAGGTCTTCCCTAGGCACTTCACCTGAGTGCCCTGGATCAGGGTAGCCTGGCAGCAGGCCAAAAGATTGGATGACAGCAGTGTGACCAACCCCACACTCACAGCACATGGCCCTTGAGGGATGCATGGTGCAGCAGTGTGAAGCCCTGGCTATTGGTAGCAGTGACATCGATGCCAGGCACCTCAGTGAGGACTTCAACAATGCTGCTGGCACCGGCACCGGCAGAGATGGCAGAATGCAGGGGCGTGTCTGCATGGGCATCCTGAAACAGAGGGGGCTAGTCACACTTTGTCTATGGTCAAGTTGCTTCCTTGACCTAGGGCTGTTTAGTGGCCATGAATCCAGGGACTATCACTCACCGGCAAGTTGACGTCACAACCACGCTCACACAGGGTCTTTACCACCTCTAGGAAGCCCCTCTGAACAGCAACATGGAGGGCTGTGCTTCGAGTGCCATTCCGAGCGTCCACCCCACATCCTGCACTCAGGAGCACCCTTGTGGCCTCAGGCTGGTTCCTGATGGAAGAAGTGGGAGGGGTTTGGGGACAACCTGTCGTACACACTGGCTCTAAAGCTCATTCCCAACAGGACCCGCCAGCCTGCCCAGGCCTCACCCCAGAGCTGCGTAGTGTAGCGCAGTGTTGCCCTCATCATCCAGCAGGTCCACACTTGCCCTGGCCTGCAGCAGCAGCCGCACCAGCTCTACCTGGCCCAAGTAAGCAGCCACCTGCAGGGCAGTCCTGCCCTGGTTCTTGGTGTCCACCTGTGAGGAAAGCCAACACATGAATCCTGGGCCCTCTCCCTGCTGGATATCAGAAGGGCAGGGTGTTAGCTTGCCTGTTCTGGGTGCCTTCGCAGTAGATCCAGAGCCCGGGCTACATTTCCCAGTGCAGCCTCTACTACCAGCCTCCCTGGGTGCTCTGGGTCACTCTTCTGGGCCCGAAGCTTGTCCAGGGCCACACTCAGTGAGCCTGGGGGCAGGGTTGAGGTAAGTGCTGGCCAGGGGCTACCCTGCCTCCCACCGGCCACTGGGGCTGATGCCGCACTTTTGTTCTCTCTGGAACGCTCAGCCACATCCAAGTTGGCGTCTTCCTCAGGTCGATAGGCCACTAAGCAGGAGGGGCTAAAGGTCCACCGTTGACCGCCAACGGCCACACGCAAGTTTCCATCTCCAAACACCTTCACCACTTTCCCAACTCGGCCCAGGGCCTGAGAAGAGGTGGGGTCACAACAGGTTACAAGTGGGACAGACAGCAGTAGGTGGTGGGAATGAACACAGTGACAACAGACAGTAAGACTTACAGGGGCCATGTCATCGGTCCATTCACCATGTCCAGCCTGCAGTCGCTTCACAGCGTCAAGGTCATCGATGACCCGGACCACGTCACCCACCCAGAAGCTGTTGTGCTAGACGACAGAGAAGCAGATAAGGGGAGTTCCTCCAGCAACTCCTGCTCCAGAGGGCAAGCAGACCTAACTTTGACCCCAGTTCCTGCCTCAAGTACAACCAAATGGTCTGGCTGGTCAAGGGCCTCAAGTGACCAAATCAGTCCTGGGTGGCCACCCTGAGTCACAGGGGATGACAACCAGAGCAGCAGTGGGGTAGCAGCATCCAGACCAGAGCAAAGTCAGCTCTAGAGATATGTGAAGGCCCAGAAGACCTGCTTCCAGGGTACCTATCCATTGATCAGACACAAGACAGCATTAAAAATGTGGTACAGACCCAAGAAAAACGTTGAAGATGGAGTTGAGTGGGACCCAAGGATGTCGGCACAGGGCTAAGAAGGAGGGTAGGGCCAGTTGGGTGAGGGGGAGCCTGCAGGGATTCTATGCACACAACCTATGCACTTGTGTGCAGAGTAAAAGCCTGAATGTTGCCTGTCCTAAAGCATCCTCCTCTGGATTCAGGTAGGAATGTATTCTCTGCCCCACTCAGTGTCCCTCCTTGGTCATTCCCACCTATCTGGCACGTCTCCCCCGCCACAGCCTTCTGGACAGCTTTCACAGAATCTACCCAGCCTAGTCTCCTCTGGCAGACCTCCACCTTAGTCTCCTCACAGACTACTTCCATGTGGCCCCAGGGTGCACACAGCATCTCACGAGAGTAAGGCAAACCACCCACCTCTGCTACCATAGTACCTTTGTTTTGTTCTCAGAACAGAGGCCCTGGCCCATGGGTTCTAGTCTAAGATATTGCCGGTACTTCACTCTCCTGTACCCTTCATGCCTGGATTCCCTTCCTGATTTCGTCTCCATCCACCAGGTTCTCCCCTTCCTTCGTGTGTGCAAACCTTTGGGGAGGCTGGTGCCCTAATCCTGCCTAAACATTCCCAAGACTGAACAGGTACATGGAAAGAATTAGAATAAGTGGGGCTCAGCCCAGCCCCCTAGGCACCTTGGTGAGAGCCCCAGGGTGGAAGGTCCAGCGGGTCTCGTGGTTGAACTGCACACGCACGTCCCCACGATCTGTGATGCGGTGCACGGTGCCCATCTGTCCGATAAACTGTGGCGGGTCACGGAGGCTATGGCTGGGTCAGGCTGGACTCTTGGGGCAGTAAGAGGGATAGGGTCCAAAGGACTTGGGAAGGGGGGCACATGGGGATTCAGCAAAAGAGATGGCTCACCTCTGCCATCCTAGGGTTCCAGCCACCATGGCCTTCTTGCATGTCCCTTAGGACATCTGTGTCCAGCAGACACTTGACCTTGTCTCCACGCTGGAAAGGCTGGCCATCAGCACTCACCCTGCGCTGCAGCTCTGCTGGCTTGCCTGGGGGAGGGTGGCAGGCTAGGCCTCGGGAAGCAACCTGTGCCCCCAACAGGACATGCCAGGGTAATATGGGTACAGCCAGGGCAGGAGAGCAGCTGGTGTCAGAGCCAGCCCCATACCAAGCTTCGGGAGGTGCTCCTTGTAGTAAAAGCCGCCAGCTGCCTCACCAACACACTTGAGGTCCACCTTGCCTTTGTGGCCCACACGGTACACATTGGTGGTTCCATCTGCCCATGTCACACTGGCCACACTTCGGCCTGTCTCCACATC